CACTATGTGTGTGTGTGTGTAAGTATATGACACACACACACACACATACACACACACACGTCTACAATGTACACGCCCCGCCACGCCACCAAGGAGAGCCTGGCGTGTAACAAGACCTTCACCACGCTCTAGTGACGTGTACACAGACCCTAGGGACATCTGACAACGGCGTCCACTGACCTCTTAGATTTAGGACGGTGGGGAGCCTGAAGGAGGAGGTGAAGGAGGAGGTGAAGGGAAGGAGGTGAAGGAGGAGGTGAAGGGAAGAGAAGAAGTGGGAAGGAATAGGGGAGGAAGAAACAGGGGTGGGTAGAAGGAAGGGAGAAGGAGGGAAGGAGAGACAGGAGTATGGAAGGAGGGAAGGAAAAGCCACTAACCTTGAGTTGGTCTGGATTGCTATACACAATTACTATCTACCATACCATACCACCATACATCAGCACACTACCATACCATCACAAAGCCATACCAAAGCCACACTAAGCCAGATACACTATTGGTCCACTGCCACACCACACTATCACACAGTACAAGGCCAAATGTACGGTGGTATGGCAGAAGGTGGGCGAGAAGGTGGCGGGGGAGAAGGTACTGATGTGGATTGGCGCGTGGAAGGTGACGTCGAGCCACGCCATTCCACGCCGCCACCACCACCACGCCTCGTCTCACGCCACCACGCTCCACGCTTCCACCTCCATGCTCCTCCACCACCACCACGCTACGATGCTTCTCCACGCCCTGTGTACGCTCCCATCCAGGCCACATTGCTCCCCCACGCACTCTCCACGCCCTCTCCACGCACTCTCCACGCACTCTCCACGCACTCTCAACACAACCTCCATGCCATATAACGCAATTTAAAGACTCGTAGGTTACCCCAGTCTCCAAAAACCTCCAAAAAAAATAGGCTTGGAGGCCAGACCACTCTACTAACCTCCAAAGACTTGACCTAAGAGAGCCCTCCTCCCTCCAATATTGATTCACCTACACACTTGACCTCATCTCCCTCCTCCAAACTCTCCTCCCAAGCCCCCTCCAACTCTTGCTAACCTTAACCTAACCTAATGTAACCCAAACCAAACCTTTCCTCCCAAACCTTTTCCTCCAAAAGCCCTTCCTCCAAAACCTACCTCCAAAACCTACCTAAACCTACCTCTCAAATCCCTCCTCCAACAAATAGAGCTATATTTCGTGGTTCACAGGTGCGTATGAGCTTTGTCCATAATCTGTGTGGATCTTGATAACATACAACTGTGGATCCGCCTCCTAATGAACGGATCAAGCTACAGGCCATGTGGATCATTCCTGGGATCTTGGGAAGGCTTCGATGCCTCTATCCACATGGTCTATTTAGCGACGGGAGGGGGAATGAATGTATAGAGGTGGGTAGGTGGATGGGTGGGGGGATTTTACAGGAAGGGGCGTTGGTTGGGGGGAGGGGGTGGGAGGTGTTGTGGGTATGGTAAATTAAAATACAGGTAACAAGTACAGGTAGTGGATACAGTTAAGGATATAAATACAGGTACAGATAACAGGTGAGATTACAGGTATAATCTCAGGTAAAAATACAGGTAGAGACACTATGTATATATATATATTACTGTATTACGTCATTGTGTTACGAATCATCAGGTACACATTAATTACATATACCTGTAACACCTGTATCTCTCTCTCTCTCTATTTCCTCTTGTAAACAGTGTAGCCAGAAGAAGCAACAGTATAGCCAACACCACCAACACACCCCAGTATAGCCAACACACCAACACACCCCAGTATAGCCAACACCACCAACACACCCCAGTATAGCTAACACCACCAACACACCCCAGTATAACCAACACCACCAACACACCCCAGTATAACCAACACCACCAACACACCCCAGTATAGCCAACACCACCAACACACCCCAGTATAGCCAACACCACCAACACACCCCAGTATAGCCAACACCACCAACACACACCCCAGTATAGCCAACACCACCAACACACCCCAGTATAGCCAACACCACCAACACACCCCAGTATAACCAACACACCACCAACACACCCCAGTATAGCAACACCACCAACACACCCCAGTATAGCTAACACCACCAACACACCCCAGTATAGCCAACACCACCAACACACCCCAGTATATAACCAACACCACCAACACACCCCAGTATAGTTAACACCACCAACACACCCTAGAGCTACACCACCAACACCCCAGTATAGCCAACACCACCAACACACCCCAGAATAGCCAACACCACCAACACACCCCCCAGTAGTAATTTAGTATGAAGAAAGAAAAGTCATTTGCGCTGCCGTCGAAGGTACACAGGAGAATGGGCTTTAATACACTACACAAACATATCTCGCTTCCTAACTGCTATAAAGGTTCTCATAATGGCTTAACAAATATTGGACTAACTAATTTGCTGACCTTAGCGGGTCACGCCAAGCCCAAGGGGAGGGGGGTGCAGTGGGGGGTTTGGTTGGGTCAGTGGAGTGGTTGAGTGGGGGGTGGGTGGAGTGGAGTGAGTGAACGTTTGAGTGGGGGAGGAGGGGGGGTGGCGGAGGGAGGGTGGGTGGTGTGGGTGGAGTGGTGGAGTGGTGGAGTGAGTGAACGTTTGAGTAGCTGGGTGGGGAGTGGAGTGGGGGTGGCGGAGGAGGGTGGGGTGGTGTAGAGTGGTTGGGTGGTGGAGGGGTGGTGGTGGAGTGAGGAACGGATGAGTGGTAGGTTGAGTGGTTGGGTGATGAAGAGTGGTTAGTTGCATACATAACTGGCTGACTGTTTCGTGTATGACTGAGGGACTGACTGCAAATAAGACTGAATGGGAGACTGATTGACTGACTAAAAACGTATCTGACTGTCCGAGTAACTGGAAACATGACTAACCAAAAAAATTTATGACTGACTCACATTCAAACACGACACACTGACTGGGTACACGGGGTGACTGGTTGACTGAACACACGGGGTAACTAACTGACTGGGTACACGGGGTGACTGGTTGACTGAACACACGGGGTGACTGGTTGACTGGACACACTGAGTGACTGGGTACACGGGGGTGACTGGTTGACTGGACACATGTGAGTGGACAGCTCGGTATATGTATCAACTAAAATATATATCGTGTAAAAAATTTTGCAACATTTTTCTAGTCTATTTTGCTGGGCTGTGCAACACTGAATGTCAATTAATCTCTATAAAAATATAGCACACGGGCCCAACCATAAAGTGCTGCCAACACTCAGAATATTATTTCAATCTACGAGTTTATTGAAACGAGTTTGATCGTGAATGAGTAGCGTCAGGCCAATGTGTTTAAGGCGTATTTTGTGATGGCCTGATGGTGCTGTGCAGGGGTGGTGCTGTGCAGGGGTGGTGCTGTGCAGGGGTGGTACTGCAGGGTGTGGTGCTGTGCAGGGGGTGCTGTGCAGTGGTGCTGTGCAGGGGGTGGTGCTGTGCAGGTGGTGCTGTACAGGGTGGTGCTGTACAGGTGGTGCTACAGGGGTGTGTGCTGGGGGTGGTACTGTGCAGGGGTGGTGCTGTGCAGGGTGGCACAGGGTGGTGCTGCAGGGGTGGTGCTGTGCAGGGTTACGCAGGGTTAAGAATTGGTATATAATATGGTGCACGTTATAAATGATATGATGGCACTATAAGCCGTATATATGATCTAGGTGTGGCACTACTATGGTGTGGCACTGTATAAATGTGATCCTGGCACTGTATAAATGTGATCCTGGCACTGTATAAATGTGATCCTGGCACTGTATAAATGTAGTGCCATTGACGAGGGGCCCCATGGCTGTAAATGAGGCACTATAACTGTGGCACTATAACTCTAAATGTGGCACTGTGTGTGAATATGGCACTGTGTTAAAGTGGGTTTATATAAATACGGTGCAGGATAAACATGTCAATAGAACTGTGTCGTGGACTCAATACACACACACACACCCACACGTACACACACGTACACACACACACACACACACACACTCATACACACACACACTCATACACACACACACACACTCATACACACATACTCATACACACATACATACACACACACTCATACACACATACATACACACACATACATACACACACACACACCCACACGTACACACACACACACACATACACACACACACACACACACACCCACACACACACACACACACACACACACACACTATGGTTAGGTTAGGTGGTGTATCATTATTACCCTCACTTGTCGTGTGAGGTAACGACACAACACCCTTTCCTTTTCTCACTTTACTCATCTCTCATTATTCCTTCTTACTCCTCTTCCTCCTTATCTTCCTTACTCCACCTTCCTCACTCCTCCCCCTCTTCCTCCTTCCCACCCCCTACAATTAAGCTATAATGGCTTAAACCTCGATATTACAGGAACACCAACCACAACCTAACCTAACCACAACCTAACCTAACCACACAACTCAAACAACAGAAACACCAATTTAAGACCTAACCTCAAGTAACATCCCGGTCGAGTGGCCTTCCTCCCCAACACACCCCCCCCTCCCCACCCCACACACACCCCACCCCCCACAATTTCAGCAGGGTGCAGTTATCTCAAATTGCCTGCGTTTTTTATACCCCGTAGACTCGACCATCCGCTGTTAATGGTCTGTCAGTCAATTTTAGGAAGCGGATCTTTGGCTCAAATACCAGCTTCCTGCTAGCAATTCAGGGGTAGTTAGTGAGGTGATAATGAGTGCTGGGGAGACAGGAAGTAGTTATCATTATTACAACAACAACAACTATTACTACATCCACAATTATTAACACAACACTACGAACTGTACGGTATACGGTGGTTTAACCCCTTGAGTACGATAATTTAATTCTTTGAGTAAGATGATATAACCCCTTGAGTACGATAATTTAACCCCTTGAGTACGATCGTTTAACTCCTTGAGGGATTAAACCACCGTACTCAAGGGATTAAACCACCGTACTCAAGG